GAACTCGTCGAAAAACTACTAAAGAATTATCGAAGAACTTTTACCTTCACTGTACATATTGGTACCAACAGTTCTTTGCGAATATCTCGGAAACTAGAGGCGACCGACATTTTCGTAAAAGGAAAAAAAATTTCAGAATGTTGATTTCTACAACACATTCAAAAATCATCGAAATCGGTGAGGAAGTAGTTCTTCGACAAGTTAACCATTTATTCAATCACCCCATTATTCAAATAAAACTTTCGTGCATAAAAAACGGTGATAAAAGAATACATTGATATCCAGTCTGTCCTGTGTCTTGTCTGTGGTATGTACATTATTTCAGAAACGCAATTACCAATTCGAATAATTTATGCAAGGCTTCCTTTTCTGCCTGATCTGGGGTGTTATTTAGGCCAATTTGCATCATTGGAGGAGTAGTTGTTAATCTTAATCCAACTATATAATGATTATTCTTTGCCTGAAAACTTATTTTCTCCAGAGTTACTTTCAGAGCATCCTGAATAATGTTTTTCATATCGGTTATATTGTCCAAATAACACTTTTTCATTCGAACTACAGACATCAGAACAATTTTGTTAGAATGTGTAATATTTTTGCAATGGTTACTTAATGCATCGTGGAAGTCATTGACTTCTGTCTGATTGTTAGCCCTAAAAGGTCTGTTCTTTGTTTTATTATATATTTCCAATGCATTCTCATTTTTTAACTTATCAGACTTAGCTTCATCTATCCGAAGATCCATATATTCTATGTTCAGTTTATCCATATCTGTATCCAATGTATGTGTGTTTCCAATGAAATGTTGCAAGACTTCTTTAGCTGCTTTCTGTTTGGCAGCTTTCTTTGTAGTTTCAGTTGCTTCTTTAGATACAGAAGCAACTTTACACTGTATGGTAAATCCAGGAATGTGAGATGGACCACTAATATTAAGAAGCGTATAAGAGGGGGAAAGTAAGTTCCTTGTCACAGAATATTCCTGTAAAATAGTAATACTTGAATACATTTTTATTGTAATATTTTTCCTATTTCAGTATTATTCTACTTCACTTTCTTTAATAGCATCATTATAATATAAATAATATGCAAGGATATATTTACTTGTAAAAGTCCAACATAGTTCACAAATGTACTTTGTGAACTTGAAGCATGAGGAGATGCATCAGAATCTAATAAACTCATAGAATTCTGCAAATTAGGTCTGTCTATTGACATGGAAGCAATAGAATTAGGAATAAATTCCTCGGTTGGAAGCAATGATAATGTAGATTGAAGAATATTTTTTGAGGATAACAACAATATCATTTCCTTTGCAGCATTTTGTTTAGCTTCTTTCTTACTAAATCCTACTCCTTTTGCACTATAACTCTTCCAGGTAACTTGAATAGTAAACCTTTTCTGGATTCCAATACCAGATGAAACTTCCACATAAATAGGCAAAGAACAACCACTAAGTTTCATAATAGCTTCTTGTAAAATAGATATCGACGTTTTACTCATTTTACTATTAAACTAATGATTAATAAGTATAGTATATAATTATTTAATAATTATTACTTTGTAGTTTTACTAAATACTTCCTAACCTCATTCCTTCTTTATCTTTTATCCATAGCAAATAGCACATAACATAGACAGCGCGTCAGGCTGGACGGGAGTCCCCACTTTAGAAAGAGATGGGTTACTTTCGAAGAACTTGCTATCTCTTTCTAATATACATAGTTGAGTCAACCATTCATAACGCAAATCCCCAGAACCTCATTGTCCACCCCAGGTTATCGTTTTATTATCTTTATTATTGTAAAAGGAAATGGAAATGAGAATTGTAAATTTGCAAAAACAATTTTAAATAAATATGCTAAAAACCACTAAAATTACTAGTGATCCTTGAACATTAAAAGCACAATCATTTAAAATTGTTTTTGCAAATTTAAAAATGTAAAATGATTGTACTGACTGATACAAAAAATGAGATTTTTTTTACTTTTTTAACTGAAAGACATATATTTTTAAAAATAAAATTATAAATTTTAAAAGTAAGAAAAGTAATAATTATGTATTATAGCAGGCACCACTGAACAATGACCGATACAATTGTTTCATTGGATTTTTTATTTGTAATTTCTACTTTCAGATTAAATTACAACAAGAAGTGTTAAGTGGCCATTAAGTTGCTCACGCGTTAGGCTGCGGGGCATCGCGTCGAGAACGTGAATTTTCGCCGCTGTGAGAATTGTGATTCGACGAGGATCTCCGAGGTCCTCTCCTTGTTTACGTTCCCGACTGACGTACCGAATGTCGGCGGAAAGACCCGAACGGCCAGCGCACACGGACAGGGTGGGATATAGTTTTGTGTGCCAGCACGGTGGACGTAACGTGGGGGTAGCCAGGCGTCAGCACATTAGCTGTTGACAGACTGGTGACCAATTGTGTTTATTACTCATTTCACTGGCAATAAAATACATCGTTTTTACCCTCAAACGTTCAAACGCGCAAATTTGATTGCTTGTCGACTACTGAAATAAATGTTAAACTGAATGTGGTTCTTTCATGTAAGTGTGGCACGAGTTTCAGTGATTCTGTGGTCAAGTGGTGGGGGACCTTTCCCCCAACGGGAGCCGACTTTGCTCGTGTGGGTGTACATTCGCGAGCAACTCGGCTTCCGTTAAGGAAAAAAGTGACGTAGGGATAGAGCCTTTTACCATTCGGTCTCGGAAGTTTCTGAAATTTATGGCAAATGAACATGCATTTTAACATTTATTTCAATACTTGAAACTGTTGCGGCCTTTTCCAGGGATTTCTTTTAAAAGAGATAAATCAGGCGTGAATCCTCGCCCGTGGAGCCCTGAAGAACTCTGCTCGTTAGGAAATTTTAGACTTCTTTTAAAGGAAACAACTTTAATTTGAAGAACACGTCTTTATTTATCGAGGGTCAATACTGGAATGGTCTCCTTTACAAAACGATCGTTCTTGTTACATCTTGTTCTTGATTTCTGCGCACGCGCTCTGGTTGTTGGGAGTCGCGTTGGTAACGTAGATCTTACGGAAACAGGACGTCGTGGTAGAGGAAGCAAGTTCCACGATTCTGGCATCACTGCGGCGGGCCACATGTTGGACAGGCCTGACTAAAAGATGCCTAGAAGGTGGACCTTCGATATCTATTTGGCGGCCGAACAGATATCTTTTCAGACAGGATTACAGATATCTGTATCTTTTATGGGGCACCTAAAAGGCACTTTTTAGGCATCTCAGTGTTATGTGCGAGTCGCTCGTGAGATGATTCGGAACTAGTTTTTCCTGAGCAAAAATGTTATCGGAGGCTTTGTTAACGAGATATTAACAAAACGGAAGCTCGGCCGGCAGACTCGTGCTCTGATTGGTCGGGGTTTTTCGTTAATATCTCGTTAATAAAGACTCTGATAACATTTCTGCTAAGGAAAAACTTCTTCCAAATCACCTCGCGAGTAACCCATTTCAGAGACCTGCAACATTTTTGTTACATCCTATATTAATACGTGTAATTTATCATGAAATATAGCTTAGTATACTATTGTTGCGTGGCCGTTTTATAAAGATTTGTAATTGAGAATTTAGGCAGGGTTTGGGTCCCCGTGGAGCGCTGATACGCTCTTCTCGAATTAACTTCAATAAATACTCGATAAATGAAATAAAACTCAGGAACTTGTATTTGAACTTGTTAACAAAATTATATAATGAACAATAAATTTGAATTAACTATAAATTAAAGTTATTTGTGCTTTTCTGCTATTTAGAAAAGTACGTCCGAACAGTTTGAGTACTCGATTAAGAAGCAGTCAAAATGGCAATAAAATCCTCGTTGAACAAAAAGAACGTGTACCTTCAGCTTTTAACAAAATACAATTATTTAACATCCAATTAGGAATTAATAAATAGTTTTACTTTAATCTTATTGGGTCTAATCATTA